ATTATTTGCTATCCGAATTTTCAAATCTGATACTCAAGAATTGTTTATATAGTCTTGCAATATGAGTCGCTACAGCGGGCATTTCCGACCTTCTAATTGAGTGTAAGACTGACATGTAGCAGCAGGCATCACGTGGCTGATAGCACTAATGCTCTCTCGTGCCTTTCTTCGTCACGCTAAGAGTTCTCGTCTTTTATCCTCATATGCAGGTACATGTTAAGCGACAGAATTATGCTGATATTTATTCTCCTTATTGTTTTCTCACAATATATTTCTACTTCTCATTAATTGTTTTCTCACAATATTTCCTTTCTTCGTTGTCCTATTGGATTGTTGTGTCAGACGCGTTGTCGAACATCTTTCTTCCAGCTCCATCGTGGTCGTAGTGCATCCCCTGCCACTCAATCTTGCGCACTAATCTGCTAAGTTTGATCGAGAAGTTTGCTCTCAAGCCACCTTGCCGTTATTCCTATTGATGTTCTCAGCACAGCATGCCACATTGTCGACATTGCGGTCGTCCCTTCCTGTTTCGTTTCCGTCCTCCGTTGCTTATATCGCCGCGTCATTCCTTGAGGTCGTTCACTCGTGCGTGCTTGTGAACTTACTTGACTTGAAAAACATCGTGTAAAAAATTTGGTGAAAAGATATCCCACAGATATAATTAAGAAATTAAATTTACATATTATTTTATTTACGTTCTAGTCCTACACAAGCGTGTAGTGAAAATGAGCTTCGATCGTGCTATTACTCGTTTTTCCCGATATATAATCGACTGTTTTGCAGTGCAGTACTGTTTTGTAGTCCCGTGCACGTCGAGTGAATCCTTGAGGTACGAAATGTACGTCGCTGACCTACATTGCTGACCAATAACTCTTTCATTGTCACCTTGCTTGACTGAGAATAAAAGAGATACTCATCATTCGTAGACCTTGTCTGGTGGAGCGAGTAGAAGTGATACTCATCATTCGTAGACCGTGTCTGGTAGAGCGAGTAGAAGAGATACTCATCATTCGTAGACCGTGTCTGGTAAGTTGAAGAGATACTCATCATTCGTAGACCGTGTCTGGTGGAGCGAGTAGTAGAGATACTCATCATTCGTAGACCGTGTCTGGTGGAGCACTATAGGAACTTGGTGGGTGCACTTCCTACCTTCCTGCCACATCCTGCGTGTCGCTCCCCTTATTGATCGTAGTTGGCGAGCGCCCCAAGGTGCCAGCCCCCCTTTGCTTCCCTTTCTTCCCCCCTTCGCTTCCTTTTCTCCCCCAACCTCCTCCTCAACCGCTCGCCATCCGCTTCATATTGTCTCTGTCCTTGACTCCAGCCGCTCCAGGCAGTGGACGTATACGTTGAAAACGTCACAGTTTAACAACCAAGTCGCTTCATGGCCGGCCAATGTAAGGTCTGTTGGTTGCAAAATCGGTAGCAATACTAGCGTTTAGAATTTATAACAGAACATCCTTGTCCAGAGATATTACAGTTCAGTATGTGGCTGGTTCTGCCCCTTCATTCTGTATCGCAGGTACTTTCAGTATTGTTAGGTGATCTTCGTCTATTATTTCTATGTTTATTTGAGCTTGTTAGATAAATTTTTAAATTTGTTTGATTCGTTATTCATCAGAATGCCGTTGTAGGGGTTTTACTTTTCACGAATTGTTCGCTTTATGCATATACCTTGCAACGTGGAATTTCGCGCTGGAATATGTGAACAATTGCACGAATATTGAGGTCGGAAGAACTGAAACTAAACCTTCCCTTTAAAACTCTGTTGATAATTTAGGCTTGAGCATGTGACCCAGCTGGATCGATATTGAGTAAACGAACTATTCCTATAATTCCACCGTCATTATCACCACGCTAATTCTCGACTTCCACAGCTGCTCCGTCATCGTTCGATAACACGCCAAATCAAATGTAAATTAAAACACCATCTGGCAAAATCAAACCGCTGTACTAGTCACATGATTTTAGTTTTCCCCTGTTGAACACTATACTTAAAAAATGTGTCAATTAATATTTACAAGAGATGAATTTTCTAAAAGTTCACGGCGGTCATTCGGTTGATGCTGTGTTCAGATTGCATAGGCATCAGAACATGAACACTTAAAAAAAATATAACTCGGTACTCACTGCAATGAGTGACAGAGAGCGCATTTTCTCGTCGACGAAAGCGTGAAGTCACGGACGGACAGACAGACAGACGGACGGACGGACGGACATGGCGAGCACAATAGTGCATTTTTTCCATGAATGAGAAAATGCGCTAAAAGGAGCGAATGTCCGGAAAGAGCTTCAGTTGAAGTAATCTTGAACATTTTTTACCTACCAGCCACTGGTAACTGGCAACTTATATTAAGTGCGGAGTCGTCTTGAGCCCAGCGGGGTGTAATCAGCTACTGGCGTGCTGTTGATGACGAGCAACAAGTATAAATGAGTGAGTGAGAATATCAGCCTTCATGTCCATGGTTTAGTGCAGACAAGGGTGACTGTTGAGCGTGCCTGCTGATGTGCTGCTGCTGTCTTGGGCGTGGTTGAGGGTCTATTGACGCTCTCACCATCAGTTCTCATTATTGTAGCTCGTAATAGATAAAACATCAGCTTTGTAGTATTATTGGGCTGTTAAATGTTATTGATGTTTTGTGGTTACCTCATTTTTTTAAGAAAGCTACCCGTCTGAATTTATCACAGTTTTAGGATCCTTTAATATGTTTTACTCCAATATAAGAATTATTTTACACTGAATTATTATATATTATGTACCATTGATTCTACCTCAAGGACATTGATAAAATCAGTTTCACTTCATATTCCCGTGAACGCTGCGATGTGTAGAAGTAAGCAGCTTGCAGCGACAGGCCTACTGTCGACTTGACCCTCATTGTTCCTCTATTTCCTCGAAAGGGAAGTTGTGCTAGGCTGCGTTCCCTGTCTCTCTTGGCCACCACTCTTATTTTAGAACAGCTCTTCCCCTCGTCCCGTATCTCCTAGCGTTGTTGTGCTTTGTCTCTCGAGTAACACTTAAGACTCCTCACTGCCTACGAAAACCCGAGGGAAAAAATACTTGGGCTTGCGCCGCGTAAACAAACCCTTGGCTAGCAAAAAAGCTCATTTTCCCAGTTCGGCTATGCTCCTGCGTAGCTACTGATGTGAACAGAGACCTGGTGGAATTTTCGTTTGTGACATCATGCGGTATAATGTGAAGACGTTTAATATTATATTTAATATCATACTAAGTCTTTTAATTTTAATCAAATTTGAATAAGCTGAGTTCGTTTTGTTTATAGATTTTTCCAACAATTAAATCGAAGATGATCTTATTATTCCAGTTCTATGATACATGAAGTATGTGCACTGTCCTCTTATCATGGAACTTGTTTGTTTATTAAAAGGTACTTGATAAACACAATACTCGTGATTTTTTTCTTCAATTGCAAATTATGCGTAAATTTAAATACTATCATACATCACGTAAAAGTTGCCGAGGCAACATCCGGGACCTTTATCTGCTCATTGTTGAGGAATTGAGCGGCATGGCAATGCGGGCCAGTCGCCGTATATTCTTGCACTGCACCGTATATGCTGCGCCGTATATTCTTGCACTGCACCGTATATGCTGCGCCGTATATTCTTGCACTGCACCGTATATGCTGCGCCGTATATTCTTCGAGCTTTGCTGCACTTCGCCTCTGACAAGTCTGGCCTCTGAAGGCTGAAGTCTCGGCTACGTTCAAGCCAGTCTGGTTCATTTATTGCTTCATGGTCACTCTACTCCTGTGGCATGACTTTAGCTCTATTCGAACCTCACATAACTTGGATTTATTGTTAGTAGTACATATATGTTCGTTAACTATTTACATATGGTTACTAGACAGTTGTATTAATTTTTCATTCGTTTTCTAATCATATCACAAGTTTGTCAAATTTCACGATTAATAAAGTCGTGGCGCCTAATTGCTGTGTGCAAGTCACTCGATACATGCACGCTATAGATGCCCTCGTCTGATAACAGCTTGGTTGCAAGCTTTGGATCAATAGCAGTATTGAAGAGGAAGAGTACGGGCTAGTTTGTTATTAGCTACTGAGAGGAAGATCATATTTACGGACATTATCATGAACTATCCTCAATTGGACCTATTGTCACTCCCGGCCAGATGTTCTGTACTTGTGCCTCCCCGTCATTGCTGCAAGCGTCGGACTATTCGCATGACATTATTACTCAGAGAAAATGTATGCGCGAACGCTTTTTAAATTCGTATTTATATTGAAAAAAACGTGAGAAATTCTATTATAATTGATTTAATTTTGACCGATTCATTGGTTCAGGTTACTAACAGAAATAAATTGCAGGGTCAGCATTATTCTATGTCCGGCTCAGCATTATCGGAAGTACCATTCAAATTTAGGTATAAAAAGCTAAATTTCGGTGGATTCTATGAACATATTAGTTATTCGGCAATGATGTTCGAATAATTACTATTGCTGCTGTTAATTCCTCTTTGTGGTGGTTCATCGTGTTATTTTTTTCAGTAGAATTTTGTTGTCTACTTAGATTGTATTGATTCAGCCTATTTCCATGTAGGTGATGATGCAAATTGAAGGTGTACCGCCATTATTAAGGACAGCTTATATAACTTGAATTATTGTTTGTAAATCATTTTGTATCACTCACCATGATTATTCATCTATTAAATATCATTATAAATACCTTTCTCTCAAGGGTCTTCGCATAGTCGAATCTTTGATACATATCGTCAAGGTTTATTTGGTGTAGTATATATAGTGGAATGATTGTCGGTGATGCGTGTGATGCCACCTCGCACACATCCGACAGTCCATTAATTTATAGTACTAATTGCTCCAATGTATATACTTGTGATGCGTTTGTGTACCTGTATACCATTCATGGACATGTGTTGTGATGTGCTCATTGCTCACATGTACCTTTTTTCTGCATTATGTTTCCCTGTATATCTCTCATGTTTACGTCTTGTGTTGTGTACAGGTGACCTACAGTCTTACAACGTTACACAAGCCTTACTACCCACCATGGTCATGGGTGGCAGGCAGCCGTGGTGCGAGCCTGACGCTCACCGCGCTACCAAGAAATCGACGACCAAGATGTTAGGTCGCCAGTCTACGTCGGTGTGGTTGAGCGGCTACTGTTTGCTGGTGTTTAGTGTGATGATGGTGAACGCTGGTGTTATTAAGTACCCGCCGCAAATGGTGAAGCAACCTCCCAGCAACGAGGAACTGCTCTTCCAAGTCGCATCAAGAGTTGATGAGAATGACAAGCCGTTCATCATTGAGTGCGAAGCTGAAGGAGAACCCGCCCCAAAGTACGTCCTATTTTAATTCAAGAATAACGCGTTCAAAATAATTCTATATTAACGCGTACAAGCGTGCGAAAATTTGCTTACCTCTTTTCCATTAGGTACACATTTCATCCCATGTTCATTGTTATTTTCTATGAATTTAATTTATTCATTTTGTACCTCAAAGACTTTGAGCTTGGAATATCCAAATTTACGCCTAACTTGCATGGGTATATTTTTGTCTTAAAAACACTTGTTCAGTATTTGTCGAATGAATGTCCAAAGAAAAAATGAGGAATGAAAGATTCCATTTCATCTTTCATTCCACGTCTGGAATGAAAGATTCCAGACGTGCAAGTTAGTTTCAGGTGTAATTACCCTATATCTGGTGTAATAGTGCACCTATATTAGGTGTAATAGTGCACCTATATTAGGTGTAATAGTGCACCTATATTAGGTGTAATAGCGATGTGCAACACTCCCAACCCTTGCTTGTGTGGCCAGGTATCGATGGATCAAGAACGGCAAGGAGTTCGCATGGCAGACGTACGATGACCGCATCTCCCAGCAGCCTGGCAGAGGCACGCTCGTCATCACTAAGCCTAAGGACGAAGATATCGGTGGGTCTAATACCCTACAATATATATTTTAGTCGACATTAACATTGAAAATAATTGATTTGCTACCGAAATTGTCTTATTCAACTTGAAAAGAGGTTCTTGAGAGTAACTTTGTCAGTAGCTTTATACCTAAAATGTACAAGCTCAGGTTCGATCGATCGCGACCGAATTTTCCCTGTCAATCCGTGCAGTATTCCAGACACTACGGTATTCTTCTCGAACGATTTTCATTAGTCATTATGCTTCCTGTTTAATTTCGAATTTAGATAATTTCGCTAAATTTTCATTAGTTTTAAGAAATCCTGATCCATGTTTAATCATTTTTCTCAGGTCAGTATCAATGTTTCGCCACAAACGAGCTGGGCACAGCCACTTCCAACTCAGTGTTCGTACGCAAAAGCGAACTGAACAGCTTCGCCATGGGAGACCCAGACTCCAAGTCTGTGGCTGAAGGCGATCCTGTGGGCCTTTACTGCCAGCCTCCTGATGGCTATCCTAAGCCTTCAGTCTACTGGATGCTTCAGGTGAAACATCTACTCCAAGGAAAATGAGTGGGTAAAATGCCCGAAATAGTCGTATTGTGACATATTTTGAATTTCGGCACGCAGCACTGATACGAAAGTAAGCCTGGCCAAACTGGGTCAGGGTGACCCACGCAAGAGTGAAAAGTGCATCGCTATGTGGACAAAATCTCGACTAATTTTTTGAGTGGACAAAATCTCGACAAATTTCTTGAGTGTTTTCTATTTCATACTTGGATAATCATGCTTTGCTCCTGAAATATGAAAATTGGTATATTTTTCATTTTTTTTCGATAAAATGTATGTATTTCCATAGGATTTTTAGCACACGAAGTTGTGTAGTATGCGTGAAGACGAAGGGTGTGGCTGTTTGGCTCCCGTGTTTGCTGATGGCCCAAACTAACAGTAGCTGTCAAACTCTCATTACGCGACACGAAAGTCTGGTTCAGTCACGAGAAGGCCCTTCTTGAAATTTTGTAGAATGTTATTCGATTTCAAATTCGTGAAGCAGCGATGTATGCAGTTTCTCCGCCTACATACATCGCTGTAGAGTACCTTTGTTTCTTGGAACTTGGAAAGTACCAACTTTGTTTGTTTCTTGAAATTATGTAGAATTGCATTTCAGCTTCGTGAAGCAGCGATTTATGTTAATGTAGTTGCTCCACCTACATACATCGCTACACAGTACCTTTATACCTTTGTTTGTTGGAACTTGGACAGTACCTTTGTTTCTTGAAATTGTGTAGAATGTCATTTCAGATTCATGAAGCAGTGATGTATGTAGCTGCTCCACCTTAATCAACATTTTACAATGTTGATCACAATCTACTGCTTTACAACCACAAATGACTGTTTATTTAGGACGATCGAGGTTCACTGCGCAGCATCAATTCATCGCGCAAGACTGTGGACCCCGAAGGAACTCTCTGGTTCAGCAACGTCACTCGCGAGGACGAAAGCAACGACTTTACTTATGCCTGCGCCGCCACTTCCACCTTCAGGTAGCTTCCAACTCTCATAAGTGAAACTAACGAATAAAGAATATGCCACTCCGCTCAATTTACTCCTAACTTTGTTTAAAGCTGAATATTTGAAGTGATACATGCTGCACGTTCTATATGTTAAACGTTATTAAAATTCTTTTAACTTTCTGCTCATTCTTGACCGTGAGATTAAGAATTTATTGTATAACCGGACTGTAGACTCCAGTTTAGGTTATTGCTAAAATATTATTTAGGTATCTTTATGTTTGGATCAGCCCGTAATAATTTCTGTTGATCATCTTCTTTTCTTAACGCTATAGTTGCACCCTGTTCAGGATATCCTTTATTATCTGTAGTGTAGGTTTGCTGTTGAGTTAATCCTTCCACTCTAACATCGTCTCAAATAAGCAACCTGAACTTATCGTGCATGAAGAGTCATGTCCCGTCCTTGCTTGCAATCCGCTGCAGTTCAGGATGCGTTTGTCTTTGTGAAGGATACTACCCAGTCATCCCATGGAGTGATGAGATCATGACTCAAAGGATGCGTAGAGTAACTCATGAAATAGGCTTCTCTCAACAAAATTATTCTCAGTGTTGAAAGAATGGAATTATAGCTTTTTTTCTCATAGCATTTATTACTATGATTTTATATGAATGCAATTTATAAAAAATAGACTTCTTATCATTGATTTTTCCTTCATAAGTTTACTTGAAGAGTTGGTATTTAGATGTCATGTTATTGTATATGTATGCAAAATGTTAACTGGCACAATTCATAGGTTACTCAATGATGCCTTTGAATATTAATGTTATGTTATTATTGTTTGTTATTAATGTATTGCATTGTTATTAATGTGTTATATTAAATAATTTAAATTATTAATGACGCAAATAATTTAAATTATTAATGACGCAATTAATTTAAATTATCAATGACGCAATTAATTTAAATCATTAACAACGCAATTAATTTGGTTTATGCAGGAACGAGTACAAGCTTGGCAACCGCGTGCTTCTGCGCGTGACGCAGTCTGGGTCCACGGCGGTGCAGACGAAGAATCCACCCATCGGGCAGTTCCTCACGAGGAAGAACACGGTCGTGCTGAAGGGCAAGACGCTCAAACTTTGGTGCATCTACAGCGGCACGTGAGTTTCCCAAGTTTGCTTTGAGTTTTGAGGCTTCTAAGTTCATTTGAAAATAAATTTGCATATTTCGAGTATGAGCTTGGTAGTTCGTAGATTTCTAAGTTCGTTTGAAAATAAATTTACATATTTCGAGTATGAGCTTGGTAGTTCGTAGATTTCTAAGTTCGTATCAAGGTAAACTCACAAATTTTGAATATGAGCTTGAGAGTTCCTATATTTCTAAGTTTGTTTGAAAATAAACTCACAGATTTCGAATACCACCCTGAGAGTTCCTAGATTTCAAAGTTAGTTTGAAAATAAACGCACAGATTTTTAATATGAGCTTGAGAGTTCCTAGATTCCTTAGTTCGTTTGAGAATAAAGTTACAGATTTCGAATATGAGCTTGAGAGTTCCTAATTTCCAAGTTCGTTTGAAAATAAACTTACAAATTTCGAATATGAGCTTGTCTTTGGGGCTGATTCATTACCTTAATGTCTTTTTAGCAAATTTTCTCATTTATGGATAAAAGGCGCTATTGTGCTCGTCATGTCCGTCCGTCTGTACGTGACTTCACATTTTCGTCAACGAGAAAATGCGCTCTTTGTCACTCACTGCAGTGAATACTGATCAAATTTTTCGTTCGTATAGGCCGCTGCCTGAGATTAAGTGGGGCAAGAAGGGCGGCAAACTGCCGTTCGACAGAGTCGAGTATGAGAACTACGGCAAGACGCTCGTGATCCGCTACGCCGACTTCCAGGACTCGGGACAGTATGAGTGCGAAGCTACCAACGGTGTGGGCACTGCACAAACATACAGCATGGACGTGCAAGTGCAGGGTAAAGCAGTATTGGCTTTAATTATTTATGAGTTGGGCGTCTTTGATCATTGATAAATTTGACAGTACCTACCTTTGTTGGGTGTGGTCATATAGTTGGAAAATATTACGATGATACAGAAGATATATATGAGGAAAAATCTAATAAGAGCTGTAAGTAACTGGTCTTATTTACAGCTATTCCGTACTTCACCGTGGAGCCTGAAATTCAGAACAAGGCAGAAGGTGAAACCGCCGAGTTCTTCTGTAACGCAACAGGCTACCCGAAACCCGAGATGATTTGGATGTACAACGGCATGCGACTTGAGTTGGCGCCATTCAACCCCCGTCGTATTTCTGACGATAACAAGATTACTATTTACAATCTGACCAAGGAAGATACTGGCAACTACGGCTGCAACGCTACCAACGTCCATGGCTATACATACAAAGATGTATATGTGAACGTCTTGGGTGCGTATATCCAATGACTTGGTTACGCGGTTATTGATATAGGTACACATACCGTATATATTACATAATTGATATACATAGCTCATATACACACACATGTTACATAATTGATATACATAACTCATATACACATACATGTTACATAATTGATATACATAACTGAAATACGCATATAGGTATATTACATAATTGATGTACATAACTCATATACACATACAATCATACATGTTACATAATTGATATACATAACTCGTATACAACACATACATGTGTTACCACTATCAAATTATGTAAACAACTTTCCATATCTGTTCATAAGTTATCATTAAGCCGTTTTATAGTGCCAATTATTGTGCTGTTTTCTCACTCACTCTTTTTTTGTTTCTCACTCTTTTTTGTGTTATTATACTTATCAGCTCTGCCTCCCGGTCTACGTACGCCCCCTCCCGACTTGCGAGTTGTGGACGGTGCTGAGGTGAACTTGACCTGCCGCATGTTCGGTGCTCCGAAGCCTCGCATCACGTGGAGCAGGAATGGCATGGAACTCACAGGCGGCAAATACAAAGTCACTGAGGAGGGCGACATGTTCATCAAGTGAGTTTCTATCTGCTTCACAAAATCTCCATTGACTAAAATCACACCATTTTTTTTTAATGTTCATCAAATGAGACAGACATGTTCATCAAGTGAGTTTCTATCTGCTTCACGAAATCTCCATTGACTCAAATCGCGTCTTTTTTCACAGGTCGTGCCGTCGTGGTGATCATGACTTATTTTTCATAATAATATTGCAAAACAGATCCTCATGAATGATTTTGTGTTATTCCAGGGAGGTTGGATTTGCGGATGCGGGCAAGTACAAGTGCCTGGCAGAGAACAAGTTTGGCACGGAGGAGGCGGAAGGCTCGCTCGTTGTCAAAGACCGAACAAAAATCACCGAGAAACCCCAAGACTACGAAGTTAGGGCTGGAGACGCCGCAACATTCAGGTTAGTCTCAACTATTGTTCTACTTCTAAAATAAAGTGGATGTTCATTTCTTTAATTTGGTTGTTAACACCTGCTTCTCCTGTGTTGTTTCTCCATAATATTGACGGCAGCATTGCCCTGTGAGATTTAGACCTTAAAATTATCTTAACATTTGCGCAGATGCAACGCCGTGTCAGATCCTGACCTGAACCTGAGCATTGACTGGCTCACAGACGGCAAGAAAATAGACTTCGAAACTGAACCTCGTTTCATCCAGCAGTCCGACTTCTCGCTCAGCATCAGTAAGACCACTGAACTTGATTCTGGCTCCTACACTTGCGTCGCTTCTACAGAACTTGACGAGGTTAAGGAGAGCGCAACGCTCATCGTGCAAGGTGCGTGCATCGTCAGTGGTTCAGCTGTTGGGTCAACCTTAACCTTTTTGCCAGCAAGCATAGGATATACAGAAATTTTTTAAGTTGAGATATATTCAATCTTATTTATTTGTCAAAGTTTTGTATATTGATTGAGTAAAGGAGGTGGTTTGATGTGTGTAACAATGGGAAATGATTGGATGTAAATATAGGCCTGAAAACACAGCCTCAAACACAAATCAGCAGACGGGTCGGCCTTTTGAGAGACTTTAAGTGATCATAAATTCATCAACACTATGAAACTTGATGTAAATATCTTAAAATTTATATTTTTTGGCTGATGTAGATGCACCGAACGCACCGAGGCTCGTGGATGTGACCTGCAACGACAAAGACGCCAGCGTTGAGTGGCAGCCGCAAGGCGATAACCGCGCCCCAATTCTGGGCTACATCATCCAATACAACACATCCTTCACTCCTGATACCTGGGAAAATGCCTTCGATAGCGTGCCTTCAGCGACAACTAAGTTCACGGTAAGTTACTAATGCGTATGCTCAGTTCCAGTTAAAAGTTCATTATTCCGCCTTTAAAAAAAAAACGTTTCATTCACTGAGTTCGTTAGTAGGTACTTGACTTTTAGCCAAACAACATATCTCACTGTAATTCACATTGAATCTTGAAAACCGTGAATAGATATTCTCCTTTATTTTGTCTGTGGTTGAGAGAGAGAGTGCACTATTTAATCGACCAAACGGTTCTTGTAACGCGCGTATGACGAGCATAGCATTGTGCTAAAAATTTTATGTTTAATATTTCAGGTGAATCTTTCCCCGTACGCAAATTACACGTTCCGAGTGATCGCTACGAACAAGATTGGCCCTTCGCTGCCGTCGAAACATTCTGCCGTGTGCACTACGCCCATTGCCGTGCCGAATAAAAACCCTGAGGGAGTGGAAGGGAAAGGAACTCATAAGAATAACCTCGTCATCAAGTGGTCGGTGAGTGCAGTGCAGCAAAGAACCTTCAACGATCATTTTAGGTTATTCCAAGAATGTAAGTAAGTTGAGTGATTTTTTGTGTCAACTTTGGTGATAATGATGAAAATTCATTACTATGAACTGATCCTTGAGGCAAATTGTCATACGTCTAAAACATTAGAACATTGGCTTGTCGAGTTCCACCTTGGTACGGTACGTTTTTTCATTACAGTGCGTAGGTCAACTTTAATTTACCTACTAATATAATTTTCACTGATCAAATGCCCGTTTTCCTTCGTACCAGCCCATGCCGGAGATCGAGCACAACGGACCCGGCTTCAGATATCGCGTGTACTGGCGACGTCATGACAAGCCCGGCAGCAGTTGGAATACCGCAGATGTAGTTGAATGGCAACAGGACCACTTCGTCGTTGAAAATCAACCCACGTTCAAACCGTATGAAATCAAAGTCGAGGCCCACAACGAGAAAGGTCAAGCCAATGTAGCTATACCTACAACCATCGGCTGGTCCGGAGAGGATAGTAAGTTCTGCACATCTTATTCTCTTTTATGTGTTTCTAAGCGATACCTTGACTATTATTTTCGTGCTTAACTTTGTTATCATCTGATATTTTTATATAAAGGGATTAATTGCCTGAAATAATTTTCATGCTGTTAACCCCTTAATTAATCTCTTGCCTAGAGGGATTTATTGCCCGGAATAATTTTCTTCGGGAGTTATTAAAAGCCCAATTAGAACAAGCTAAAAAAAATTCTCTAAACGATCTCTTTGCACAGGACCGTCTGAAGCGCCCCTCAACTTTAAACTGGATAACCTCTATGACGCAACCTCAGCTCGCCTCTCCTGGGATCCCGTCAGCAATGCTTCCATCAATGGACACTTCAAAGGATACAAGGTAGGACCTTTACGAACAACTACTCTGTCTGACTACAGCTTGTAAATTGATTTTTTGGTCCTTTAAACTGTTCTATCTTGTTATTGTAACTCGCGTAATAAATTTTTTTTATCTATTTACTGCAAAAACAACCAACACATGTACATATCAACACCTACCTGCCAGATCCATATTCGGACTGAAGATGAGACGGATAGCGAAGGCTCATGATTTCTGATCCTTAAAGCTGTTCATTCTTGTCATTGTAACTCGGTTAAGAAAAACGTTGCAGCTGTTTAGTGCAAAAACAATCAAATCATGAAACTAATCGACTTATTCCTGGCAGATCCAAACTTGGACTGAAGACGAGACGGAAGCGAAGGCTCGTGACGTGATCATCGACAACAACGGAGAATCGAGTGCTCTGGTGGAGAGTTTCGTGCCGTACACGCGCAACTACGCCCGAGTGCTGGTCTTCAACGGCGCCCACGACGGCCCGCCCAGCAACACCATTGAATTTGTCACTCCAGAAGGAAGTAAGTAAACTCTACACCATTTAAATCGGTGAATTAATATCCTCGCTTCGTTTGCATAAGGCTACGTACCATTCATTCTGATAGGGCCCTTGAGTTCAGAGCAACAATTATTGAAATAAATTCAAGCATCTAAAAGTGATGTGATGAGGTGTTTATTATGTAGAATTACATTTTCGTTTACCTTGACCTTGTTACGACTGTCATTGAGTCTCATGACTTGAAACAGACTCTGTGTAATAGTTTATTTTTGCTAGTACAATCGTACAAACTTTAGAATTGCTGTTTAGTTTCATACAATCAATAAAATATGTTCTTTGCAGCCCCAGGTCCCGTGGACTCCTTGGAAGCCATCCCCATGGGTTCCTCAGGCTTCTTCCTCATCTGGAAGAAACCCAAGCGTCCTAACGGCGTGCTCACAGGCTACCACATCTTCTACCGCACGGTTCAGGGCACCGAGCTTGGCCCGCAGTCTGAACGCGATCCTCCGATCCGAGACCCTCTTGTGACCAGGGCCAAGCTGGCCCGTCTTGATCCCAACACCAAATACCGCATCAGCATTCGAGCGCGCACCAAGGTGAGTTGTGAGCTTCGTTGAAGGCACCAAATGAATTATGAGCTCATCATTAACTGGCCATTCATTAAATATGGGGTTTCTATTTACGATGAAAGGAAAAAATTAAAATAACATTCTTCAACAAAGTTGTATTTACTGCAGGAACAATTAACACATGAAACATTATGGCGTTAGATTAATTTGATTATAAAAAATTTAGTTAATTTTCCTGTAAATCACGCAACGTAATTATAAATCCCTTATAAATGTACATGAATAGAAATCCCATATTCTATTAAAGCGTAGGTAGCAGCACTAATTTCTTTTTTTTTTTATAAACGGTTGTTACTAGTATTACATTTCTTTTATGCAATACAATTTCAGGTTGGGCAAGGCAGTGAATACTACATCGAGCGCGAGACTCGTGCTGCGGGCTCAGCGGTGCCCGGCCGTCCGTCCATGTTGTGGGAGCATGTGAGCTCTCAGAGCGGCGCTCCTGCCATCAAACTAACGTGGATACCAAACACCGACACCAACCCTGGCAGTCACTTCTATGCTCAGTACAGGTCAATGGCTCGTTCTTTATGTCTAAAGGCTGTAGAATATGTCTGTATTGATATCAAATACCGACACCAACCCTGGCAGTCACTTCTATGCTCAGTGCAGGTTACTGGCTCGTTCTTTATATAAAGCCTATAGAATGTGCTTGTATCGATACCAAACACCGACACTAACCCCTAGCAGTCACTTATATGCTCAGTACAGGTCACTGTCTTCTTCTTTACGTCTATAGGGTATAGGCTATAGAATGTGCTTGTATCGATACCAAACATTGGTACTAACCCTGGCAGTCATATTCATGTTCAGTACAGGTCTCTGGCGCGTTCTTTTATGCATTTAGCCTTCGGAACGTGCCACAATCACATTGCTTGCAAATCTAGATAGATCCTCATCGTGTCAATACCAAAATATACAGGTTTGATAAACAGAATGCGTTGAAGTCGTGTTTTCTTTCATTTAACTACTTATTTCACTGAAAACCAAATTTTGCTAATTTTCTCGTAAATTTACCGCAGCCTATTCTTGTTGAATTTCTATCTTAGTCAAGCACCCAAGGTTGTAACATTTTAGAAATAGTTTCACACTATTTATGGTCTTCCGGTGAATTTCTATATTATTTTGTACATTGCCGGTTTGTTATGACGAAACCTAAATTTTATATTGTTTTGCTCATTGCTTGATATATATCAGAAAGTAAATTTATGAATTTTTTAATTAAATCAATTGTATCTGACGGGTTATCATTCTCACAGGCTTATCGGCGAGAGTCTATTTGAGAAAACCAACCCGGAAGAATACCACGACTTCATCATCTTGGAAGGCCTGCAGGCTAACCGCATCTACGAAGTGAGACTCGTGGCCGTTGACGGCACTTACGAGACCCCCTCTCAGGTGGAGGAGATCGAGACCTACACCAGAGGCGCCGTGAGTTAAAAATATGTATCTCCTTGTTATTAGTGACTTTATATACTTTAGTTGCTTATGTATCAACCATCAGATTTAATGTTGCAACTACGTTATGTATCAACCATCTGATTTAATGTTGTAATCAAAGGTAAAGTCATCAGATTTAATGTTGCCCTCTGCTTTGCGTATTTAATATTACATTGCTATGGTGTGGTTGCTCATGCTCGTATACATCTGAGTACTGAGTATGTGTGTATTAGGTTTTGCTTGATTTATTAATCGCATGGCAGCAGCGACAAAAAAGGAACTAAAAAACGTCGACATTAACTACCTCAGTATTTAGGAGTATCTAATGTAAGGTAATATAAATTATCTGAAACTGATAAAAGGTAAACTTTTTAGCTCGTGCGTTGAATAATGTCGAATTCACTGCCCTTCCTCGTATAATAGCCGTTTCTCTTGAAAATTATTGGTCTCCTGCTTGTCATGGTCTAGTCTGTAATTCTGTGAAGTACAAGATTGCAACACTAAATTTTATTCCAAATGATGAACGACATTTCCTGCAGTCGCCTAACGTTACTCGGTGTCTTACCGATAACATCGCCATCCGCGGCAGTTATTCATTCTTTCTTATATCACTCATTCCTTTTGTAAAAGAATATGCCTCATTTCCCGTTATATCACTCATTTCCTTCCCCCAAATAAGCCTCTTCTCCCCGTAGTCACCTAATGTCACTCGGCGCCCCACCGATAACATCGCCACCCGCGGTTGGTTCATCGGCATGATGCTGGCTATAGCGCTGCTGCTGCTCATCCTCATCATCGTGTGCATCATTAAGAGGAACCGTGGCGGCAAGTACGCTGTTCACGAGCGGGAAGCTGCCCATGGCAGGTCCGACTTCCCTGAAGAAACTGGATTCCCTGAGTATTCTCAACCGTGAGTTGTTATCATTATTATTTACATCTCAAAGCTTTTTTATTGTCTTGTTTCATTGCATTTTCTTGTAGTTATTAATAAAATTACTAAGTAAGTGCACAGTAGACGATGCTATTATTCTAAAGACAGTTACGTGTCATGGTGAAGTGTACAGGAATTTTGATCGTGTTCTCTCATGCCCATTGTTACGACAGGCTCGATGGTGGCAAAAGGGACAGTCTGGGCAGCGATGTTAAACCTCCTGTTGAGTCTGACACCGACAGCATGGCTGAGTATGGCGATGGTGATGCAGGTTCGTGCTCATTTATGAATGCTTCTGTACCTCACTTAGTTATAAGCTAAACTTTGTTTCACTGCGTCTCGTCAGGAGCAATGTTACGTGTAAATGATGCATGAGCTTTAGTATTCACCACAGCGCACCTTAGACTTCAGATTGAAGCAAGCACATGCAAGACGCCTAGTGAATCAAAAACAAGAGATCTTGAAGAATATGGACGCAATACACATTCATTCTTGCAATAACACGAGTTACTTAACAATGTTAATACAATTGATGTTAAGTTGTGTTGCTAAACTCAATTATAATGCGTAGGTCACGAGAGCTAACAGTAGAAAGCGATAGCAAGTGATCGAAATGCACTGTGTTAGCCCACTGCGATAAAACAACATATTCTTATTACATGGAGAGACAGAAACCATGATGAAACACGTTCATTACTTTCGTTCGTTCGTTCGTTACTTTGTGTTCTGCATGTAACTTGGCTTATGGTGCCTTTCTATAAACCCATTTTATTTTTCTATTTGGTTTAATTTTATTTGTGGCAAGTATATTGATATTTATTTCTTTATATATGCATGAAAAAGAATTGGTTATACATTTTATACCCCCACTGTTTTGTTTGCAAGAATTATTTATTTTTATTCATGGTGTGTACTTTTGTTTTGTTTGATTCGGTCACAACAGCTGGCATGAACGAAGACGGCTCATTCATTGGCAAATACGGACGGCAGAAAACTGAAACGTCTTCGAACACCGCCTTCGCGACGCTTGTGTAGTCTTGCCTACACGAAATCTCACCTGAATAGTTTCATAGTTGATCGCCACCGTCTCATCTTATTCTAAAACTACTCGGAATTCGATCTTACTCAGTACTTTTTTACTCTCGTTTTCATTCAGATTTGGTCGCCACCGTCTCATCTTATCCTATAACTACTCAGAAATCGAACTTAGTTACTTTTTTTACTATTGTTTTCGTTCTTATGAACACCAAAAGTGGACTTTTTTTTAGTAATCTCGCATTTTATTCGTGTTTCGTATTTTTTCACTCTAGTATTTTTACCTCCAGAATACAGCGATGTTCTGTTTCTCATTTTATTCTAATTTGCCTTGTTTTGACGGTGATGAACCCAACTGTTTTCTCCATTATTTTAAATTAGAAAAAGGGTAAATTTTATCTTAAGTTGTTATTAACTTCAAGTTATTGAAATGATTGAGCAAATAACGGAAAAACGTTTAGGAGAATTTATACAACTAGATCCTTATTTAGTTAACAATTTGTTTTACTTTTTTTAGTTAACAATTTGTTTTACTTTTTCAAAAATCCACTTTCTCTTAGGATTTTCAAGTCACTCACACGTGGACTTTCAAGTTTCTTGCCCTTAGATTTACAATTCTCGAAATAGGTCTTCCCTCCAATACCTATCCGTCAAAACCTTCTGCAATCTTAATTAACCTTCTGCAATCTTAATAATACTTACCGAAGCGACATCATAGCTTAGAGCACCTTTTTCCTAAAGATTATATACCTTCACCTCACCTTACCGACTTTATAATTTTTTTCGCCCTGATCAATTTTTTCTCTACATTGCACTGCATCAGTTCACTTTAGCAGCACATCAACATGTTTGTCCAATAGCGGTGCATCTCATACACCCTGAAGCTGCGCTCTCCTCATTTCTATAGTAAGCATCGAAATAGTTTGGATTCAGCAACTGTTTCTTGTCGTTTATGCACGAGTTTCTATTAATTTAGTTGCCTGGTTTAGCAAAATCATTGATAATAGCCCTGTTTTACGCAATTGTATATTTATGAACCGTTTTTAGTGAATTTTTCTTTATTAATTTTTCTCGATTTATTTTATATGGTAGTCAGTAAAACAGTGAAAGTAAAATCACTGTTGGTTATTTTTTAATTACCTTTTTAGCTAATGAAACATTTGTCCCTTAATTTGATCCCGTCGATCATTCTGATATTAAAGTAAAATCAAAACTTGTAATATATTATAATATAATAAGTATAATAGTAGTGAATATTAATAATATTTGTGGCGTGCAGGGCGGTTCACGGAGGACGGCTCGTTCATCGGCCAGTACGGTACGGGGCAGCGCGGTAAGAAGAAGCGATCCAGCCAGGAAGCCACTACGCCATCCAATGTCGCCACCTTCGTCTAGATTCTTTCTCTCAACGCAACACTAATATTGTGGATTTTTCTCATCAGGTGCTTATTTTATTTTCAAAATTCGAAGAGGATTTTTTTTCTGCTGAGAAATTTGGACGTGCGAGTCTTTGACTGCAAAGACTCGACGTGCAAACTTTTTTATTTCTTTTGAAAGACTAGGTTTAAGAGTATTTACATTCCGTGAAAATATCATTTTATGGAGTATCTTGTGCGACTGTGTGCAAAGCCCAGGATGAACAATTTCGCTTTTTGAACAAACATATTCGCCCTGGTCACTGCCGACGACTTATTTTACGTTCTTGCTATTTTGGAATCTGCCTGGAATCATGCGTGAATCTGCCTATGAGCACGCATGGTTTCCATTATAGTAAGTTTTCAGATACTACAAAACTTTGAAAGTCCTGTACATTTATGAACTATTAACTGATTTGAAAACAATCATTTGTCGAGTGCAGCCCTGTGATCGTTGTGAGTGAATAATAATCTTACTCTTAATATTGTGTGTAACTCCGTGCAGCTCATTCATTATATTATACCACATCAGGAGCCTTTTTCTTGTAAGTTTTATACTTGTCGTGAGGCTCTACGTTGCCCGAAACTTTTTGTATTATTTCAATCGGGTCATTCAGTTGCTATGCTCGAAAATCAAAGTCATCATTCTGCTACTTGGAGGTTTTCTTTAGATAGTTCCGCTCATTATACATGTTACGAAAAATTTTGGATTGGTTATTTTGCTCTTTTATTGTAATTTTCATTTAAATTTATTTAATTTATGTATGTTTTGTGAATTTATCAAATCCACCCCTCCCTCCAAAAAGACGGAAAGGCTGATTGAAGACATGCCTCAATATTTGTTTTTATAAACATAATTATTATTTATTTATAGCAGTTTATTCTACGCTCGTTCGCCTGATTTGAGCTGTTCATTGTGCTGCCCAAGTGTCGCTAGATCAATGCTGCGTGAATCTAGGAACATAGTATCGTGTTTAATCTATTAAACTTTTTCAAAGTTAATTTGTACATTCATCGTTAGGAGTGCATCCAAGGCTCCAGTGTATGCGACCTCTAATCGTAATGATTCCTTCAATCGCTGCTGGCTGTTCCTACTGTTGAATGCCAAGCAAATATTGAAAATTCCTTCGCTCTTACAGGGAAAATATAGGAATATTGTGCAATCACAGAGAATATCTTGCAGAAATATTTGTGCGTTTTTTGTTCAGCTCATTAGTTGAGTAAATGATATGTGGAACTATGAACATTGATTATTAATTGTTATCAACAGCGGGAAAACTTGCACAACTCTCACTGAGATTCATGAAGTTACGTACATTCTTCAGAGTTTCATACTCTCTTGGTCCAGTGCAGGTCTCTGTAAATAAATCTCTTATGTATGTTCGCATAGCTTAGATGATAAGTAGAAATCACTTAGTGTAATTAAGAGTGCTGATGATGGTAAATCACTGCGCTCAATGGCTTGAAGTAAGTTATCTATTGGCACATTTCTTCGTTGCGAAGTTTCCTTCTACTTTTCGTCGGTATGATTGACCAATGAAGCAAGTCAATCTATATTGACTGGAATTTTTATATTGACTGGAATAATCCTGGAATTTTTATTTCTTCTCGTGCAAATTATATGGAAATTACCGTTCTTAAGCTGCATTCAAATGTCTGACATATTATATTGTTTTTCGATGCCATTAATTTGATCCTCGACGTACCTAAATAGGTAGTTTCTCTGGTCGGCGGCAGTGGCCTGATGCAGATGTGAATGCTTCACAAAAAGATCTCATGAATGTGAATGAAATCTCAATTAAGAATCTCATGTATGCAACCTTCTGATTGTACTTCTGAATCTCTTATTACTGATTGTAATCTCATGATATTTGGAATTTGTATTGTCAAAGCTGAATCCCTTATCCAAGATATTGAATAGAGAAGTAATGTGTAACTAATTATGTGGTGCTACCAGCTTATGAAGTTGTGCTATCACTAAGAACATATGATGTGATTCCAAGTTCTTATTTCCTCGCTTTTCTTGCACTCTATTGTAGTGAATGTGACGAAGAAATATGTATAGATTGATGTCCAGTCTTAGGCTTGCGGATGAATGTTTTTTTTCGTTTTCATGTTACTTTTGCATTCCTTCTGTTCTTTTATTCCTTTGATTTGGTAGAAGATCGGTTATATTCTTATACAAAGTATTGTACATTTCGTTGATGATCCGACGCATGAATAAATCTTGATAGATCTGAGGAGTGCCGTATTTTTTCAAATGTATAGAAAATAAGCGTCTTAGTGATACTTTTAGTTTCTTTATCGCTACCCTCGTATAAGGAACGTATTATTAAGTGAATATGAAGCGGAGAATGCACTGTAGGTAGTTTTCTTTCTGCATATTGCATATTGAGTGCTCCGTGCAAGTGCCTGCCTATCAGATAATCGTGTATTTCCGTCGATTATTTCTCATATTCGAACACTTGACGGATCTTTTCTTCACATTCTCATTGGAGGCAAGATAGGATGCACGCGTTGCCTTGTATTCAGTGGTAATGACTTTTATTCTCTTGACTTAACACGTTGAGTGCGGCTCGACCCACCAGGGTTGCCAGATGACCTAAAAACGGCCAAGTCCGCGGACAAAAAAATAAATTTTCAGTTTTTTGTACCTTTCAAAATTGTATAAGGAGGTACCGACATCATAAATTTTTGCGTGACAACGCAATTAAAAAAAACCTAAATCACGGACTTGATCCGGAAAAAAAGACTCTGCAACACACCGGTGGGCCGTGCCGCACTTAACATGTTAGAAATACCTCGTGCAACATTACTAGGCATTCCTTCATGAGGACCATTTTTCTTATTCGTTCCTTGTAACTGACGTGGTAACCTTCCCTCATCACTGCAGCTTGTGCTTAGCTTTGAATATTAAAACGTTCCCCGTGTCTTGATTATCGTCTATAACCTTAATTAGCTGCCTATCAATTGAACAACCTTTCGTTCGTGAACTTTTCCGTGTTAGTCGCAAATATTGCCAGTGTTCATGTTGACAGGAGTTATTCAGCCTAAATGTTATTCTAAAGGAAGTAGTCATCTAAAATTTTAAATTTATCATCTCGTCATCATACTGAAGGAAAAAAGTACTTGATATCGGTGTCAATTTTTTTTTATTTAAACCCAATACAAATTACCTTAAGAATCGAATAAAAAATCTCCTTAATTTTACTTGAAATTGCCACCATTAATTCTATTATTAGTAGGATACATGTTGAACATCACAAGACTTCATCTGGTATTGTCCTGTTAGCTCCACGTCTACTGTTCATCCTATAATTCATTGCTGGCTGTAAGAGCTGTTGAGAATGATCCTCTATCGTTTGGAGAATTCTTATGATGATCTTCCAGCACGTTAGTTAACCAACCTATCTTGAGCTTAACGTCTGCTATTCATCCTATAATTCATTGCTGGCTGTAAGAGCTGTTGAGAAAGATCCTCTATCATTTGGAGAACTCTTATGATGATCTTCTAGCACGTTCGTTAACCAACCAATTTTTGCAATGGCTGTTTTCAAGAGACTATAATGATCAACCTCTTGAGAAGGTGACAGATCGGGGATAGCAGCCTTACGTAGCTGCTCAAACCCATCTTGCAGCGCTGCATCATCTTCATCGCTGTACAAAGAAGATTCTACAGATGATATGGAATCTTCAGATCGCTGCTCAGCTACATCCCAGTTCGATGAAGCGTTCATTGGAGAAATAATATCCATTCTATTTTCTGTGCTGAGATTGAAGCGTCTTCTGACGTTTTTCCTCTTAGTTGTCTGTCCTTGCACGTGATGATGGCTCATTCTTTCCATTAACCTGTTTTGGTCTCGCTGCTGATGCATCTGATGTCTGGCAGCTTCGTCGTCATCGTGTCTTTTGTTGTCGCCATGCAGTGGAGAGCGTCTGCTGCATGGATCTAATCCATTCCGACGACGCCACAGGTCGGAAGAGTCGAGATCTCTAACATGGGTGTAGGAGACTGGAGAGCCTGATGGTTGGTAGTGCGAGTGCTGATCCATCTGTTATCAATAAGAACATCCTTTTAAGTTACGGACATTTAGCGAATCTCAACAAAAAAATAGCTCTGACGTTAACTTGATATTTATGAAGAATTGAAAATTTACATCACCAATCAAGCTAATACAATTGATCTGAAATTCTAATTATGTATAGACATTTCACGATTCGGATGTAATTCTAATTATTATGTGATCTGTGCAATTTTACTAGTTGAAACATGAGGACAAAGTCTTTTCGCGTTGAGACGGACAAGCAATATACTGATAAACTTTGTCTATCTCATGCTCCTTGTTCCACCTATAGTTTCACACTTATCCCATACATTCACTTATATATATATTATGCCATTCACATATATTCACGCTGTACTTTAGAAGGGCACGTCATTTATTCAATTATTTCACTATTGTGAAAGTAACAATTCTACGGTAGTTCGAACTGAAAATATTTCAACTTAGTTCATCTTGGAAAGAACTTGCACCTTAATTCGAAATCGTTCAATATTTTACGATGACTTCACTCGCGATCTACCGTAATAATGACCATTTTGGTGGAAATCAGACTCCTAACTTCATAGTTACGCTTTTCAATCAAAATCGTGAGAAATTTCTCGCTGTTTTAGGAATTAAAATCCCATACCAACAGCCACTATAATAGTAATTAGCGGCTTCCTTTAATATGCAAGACTGCGGTTGAGATTTTTTTATGATGCATAATGTTATGAAAATGATTAATGATACGTCTGGGTGTATTATGTTTTCAAATAATCGTAAAATTCTGGCAGGGAAATGAGCATTTTACCGAATTGGACGAAATAAATTTAAATATATAAAAAATTGAATGTGATAATTATTTTCCAGGACTTGAGAAAATGTCAGTTTGATGCTCCTTCTCTACGTACTTACAACACTGAACTCAAAAATTCTCACCTTATTTTGAAGTGTGGAGTGTTGGCAGGAGCTGCAGTTGTGTGTTCAGTTCCAAGCTTAGAACAAGAATGAGGAAAAGAGCCCATGACCTCCCTTATATACCCTGGACGCCGGTGCAACCATTGGCCAGCTTCTTGTTTTACGCCGAGGAGTAGCAGGCCTAGTCTACGACTCAAACTTTTTTCTAAGCAACCTTATTTTTTGAGGTGCTAGGATTAACATGGCAATATAAATAATCCCTTCTCGGTACAGATTTCTGATAGAGCTGTACCCTTATACTTTTTTTTTATTTTGCTATTGAAAAGAATATTATTTTAAGCGAGTTATTTAATTTCAAACGTAAATTAGAGAAAGGTATTCCTGGCTATAGCATTACGTTAAAAACTTTCCACTATCGGTGTCGTGTTACTAATGTGTTTAATGGAGTATAACAGTAAATTGAATCCCACTTATTGCTTTTGCGATAATAGGTATTAGTCTGCATTTAATTGGAAGGCGAAGTGCCTCATAATTTTCTTCGAATTACTAGAATTGAACTTTTAATATTCGTTCTATTGCGCAATTTTTTTTTCTTTTTCTGGACATGTTAATTCGCTCAAGACACATCCGGACACTTGAAGTGGAAAATAAGCACATAATACGGAAAAAATTATGTAAATATAAAAATTCAGAAAAATCTTCGTCGATTCAAATTTGCAGAAAAATGTATATAAATTCAAAATTTAAAACTTCTTCGAATAACCCAATGAGAGAATGTAAAAATAAATTAAAATGAGATTGCTCCCCAGCTTTATCACGTTCCTAAAATTATTTAACAGTTTTGTCGTAGGCAAATAAGGCATATAAAAAATTTCAAATAAGATAAGTCGACTCCAACCTGCAATTAAATTCACAGGTGTGAAATAAACACCTACTTAAGCCTCAAAAATGGTCACTCCGAGCGACCCGGAAAAAATTCACTTGAAAAATTTTATGTTGTCCCGGCAAGTCGTGACAGCATCACGCCTCCTAGCCTCTAGGGACATTCGGTCAACAAGTTTGTTAGTTTTTCCCTGAAACCTAAGCTAGAAAAAATCGGACAGGTGTTAAGCTTGGGACCGAAATGCATCTTCCTACAGGTGCAGGGTCTTACCTGGGCTACGTCCTTAAGCCTTTTTACGCATTTCTTAGGGTGATTAATTAAGCTTCCACGTGATGTACTAAAGCTGGTAGCAGCTTCTGCCAGTTAAAACGCCTACCGTCCCGAGAAATTCCAGTAACGATTCCAACTTGTGACGTTGACGCATTTCTGAAAATAATCGATTGGAAACTTTTGAATACAATGCAATTAGTTTTTTCTTGCATAATTAGGGAGGTATGACGACTCTCAGTAATGTTTTTCACGAAAGTAATACCTTAAAGTACATTGTACCGTTATTTAGGTCGTTGAGAATATGAGAATTAGAGCAAACTCCGTTTTAGGCTGTTTGCTTTGAACATTATAAAGCTCTATTTGATCTTTAGATTGTTTCTTCCTCGAATTTAATCGTAGCGATAAAGAAAAAAGGAAAAAAGCGGCCTTTGGCAGCTTTGCTACCGTTGACCTTGAGTAATGCAGCAGCCAGCTGGGGTAGTCTGCCTGTATTCAATCGTC